CAAGAACCAGGGCTTTCGATCTGTCATAGAAACACCTTAGTAGAAAATCGCTTCCTGTCTCGTAAATTGCGACCAAATTCAAAAAAATTGAATTTTGGACGTAAATTTCCGTGGGTCCCGTTTTTATTATGGAAATTTACGCCCCAAAAAATTTCCTGATGGCCTAATACTAATCACATATGTTATTATTCACTATTAAAATAGAAAGATAAAAATAAAAAGAATAAAATAAAATAAATAAATAAGTAAGTATCAACTATGTAAGCTAAAGATATAGTCAAAATTGCTACAAAAAATATAATAGATAATGTAGTAGATAGTATAATAGATAGTGTATATATTAGTGTAATTAATAGTATATACATTAGTATAATCTATAATGTAAACTATTATAACTTCAAATATATATATAAAAGACTGAATTTCTTTTTTTTCAGTCCTCAGTTTCTTTAATTCACAATTAATAAAATTCTTTGTAATTTACAATAATTCTTAATGAATTATTTCTTTATAATAGTCTTAGTAATAACTTTAGTAAAGTTATTATTAATTTTCTTAGTGAAAATATCTTTTTGTTCCTTAATAAATTCCTTATTGAATTTTTAGTAAATTACTTTTATTTTTGTAACTAGTATTTGTTATAGTTTTTGTCTTAGTAACTTATATAGTATAATTTTATCTTTGTGACTTATTTTATTAACTCTTCTTAATGAAATATCATCTTAGTGACACATATCTCTATAAAAATCTTATCTCTTTTAGTCTCTTTCAAGTAAATCCATAATAACAAAACCTTTATGTTTATATTTTCTTTATAGTATAATATGTTTAACAATATATTTAGTATAGTTGTTTTAGTTTTAGCTATATATATTTTCTCTACTTTTAGTTACTAGTTTATTAAATTCTTTTGAAGATGAATCTTAGTTAGTGATAAGATCTGCAAATAGATACAAATTAATAAATTTGTGCAGATCAATATATAACAAATGAAATGTGATCATAATATGTTGATGATGTTACCATGAGTTTTTTTCATTTTAATAGTTTTCTTAATATTTTATTTTATTTCTCATTTGTATTATTTTATTAGTATAATTATTTAATATATTTAATTATTAGCTACAAATAGTATTTGTTTATTTATTAGAGTAATACGAATTATGTAAATCAATAATATAGATTATAGTGGTCTAGTTACTGGCCAATTTATTGATCAATTTAGTGGCCAACTGATTAACACAATTACTGGTCAAGATTTTGACCAACTTATTGATCAATTTACTGACCAATTTACTGGTCAAATTAAATATTATAAAAAGAATGAGTTTTCTTTTCACCTTAAGACAGATTCAGATAGTTTTTGAATTAGATTGAAATAATTCTAAATAGTGAAATTTAGAAAGTAATCTCAATTGTAATTAATTCTATAATTGAATTAATATTTTTATAATTCTAAAGTAACTGGATTATTGATTTTCTTTGTAATAAATTTATATTTCCTATATTAAAACTCTGTTATTTTTTTATTAATTTATATTCTTCGAATATAAATTCTGATCTATAAAATTCTGTTATTATTCTATAAACCATTGATAAATATATTTAATTCTTTACCTTAATTTCTTAAATTGACCTTTAAAATTTAATCATTAATTAATATTTAAAACCCGTGATAATAAATTCTTAAGTCCTTTAATTAGTTTTTAATATTTAACTTAATATTTTTTTTATTTTTCTTCTATTATCTTCTTCAATTCATAAACTAAAGTAACTGTTTATGAGTTGCTAGTTGTAAATTGCCTTTTAGAAAATAAAATTAGTTCAAAAGGTTGACTAGTAACAGCAAATACCTTTAAAGAATATAATCACATATATAAATTTCTACTTTGTAATAAATATTATGTAATACACACTATGTATTAACCTACATGGATATCTATTTATGTCTGTTTTATTTGTTAAAATACATAGTAATTTTATTCATGGATCACATCACTAATCTCAGTTAACAACAGAAAATGAAAAAAATTTTACTTAATGAATTACAGATATTTTATGATATGTTTAAAATTGATAAGAATTCTGAAAAACAACAATGTAGTAATTGTCAAAATTGATATCAAGCAACCTGATACTGTGAATTTTGTATTTGTAAATTTTTAGAAAATGATTTTAAAAATTGGACATCTGGAAATAATGAAATTGACAAATTAATTCAAGAATACTAGCAAAAAACTGTAGTACCTTATTGTATAATTGAATAGATTAGTTATAATTAATTTGAAAATATAGAATTTCTTACAGAAGAAGGGTGTATTACTATTTATACTGCATTTTGAAAGTGTGGATGCTATTATAAATGGAATTCTGATCAACAAATATTGGAAAGATTTGGAAGACATAAAGTTATTCTAAAAAGATTAAATAATTCAAATAGTAATAATGTGCATTGGTTTCAAGAAGTAAGTTAAATTATTATTATAATATTAATCTTTGTTTAGTAATTATATACATATATTAATTATATGTTTATTCAATTGTTAGGTGACATTAAGTTTCACAATTGATAATACTTTTATATATCTTGTCAAATGTAATGGACTTACCAAAGATCCAATTATCCAAGATTATATGTTAGTTATGTGTTTTTTTGATAAAGATTTAAGACACTTTTTAATAAATAACTATCACTCTCTTACTTGGATACAAAAATATGATATTTTTTATGAAATATTATACATTTTATATATATATTTCATAATAAAAATATAGTTCATAGAGACTCGAATTCTGGAATATTTTATATAATGCATCTAACTTGGTGTATTAGTGATCTTGGATTTAGTGGTCAATTGACGAACTATTAAATAGGAATCTCCCATATATTGCATCCAAAGTCTCTGTAATCAAATTTATACAACTAAATCTGATATATATATATATAGTATAGACATATTAATGTGGGAGATAGCAACTGGTGAAACTCCCTTTGGTAACCACGAACATGATTTGGATTTATCATTTGCCATAGTCAAAGGATATCGACCAAAAATAAATGAAGATATTCCACATGAATATATAACTATTTATATATTTAGCATTTGAATTTGAAATTTCTGAAGATAAAAATTATTTTAACTTGTTAAATGAAATTGATATTTTGTTTGAAAAGACTTAATTTATTATGTTATGTTTTGTAATTATAGAATTGAAAAATATGGTCCTTGCAAAAAATTCATATTATAATAATTATTTTTGTATTAAACCATTTGACAACTTATAATATGGTGTGGTGGTTAAATTTAATTCTTTTTTTTTATCCAATTCAGGTTCCCAATTTCAAAAATAATAAGCAGGTAAATTAAAATCATTTTATGAATTAAACAATGTATAAAATTGCTGACATTAATCACTTTTCAAAGATTAAGGAATAATGTAATTAAATAATTGATTTCCAAGCCAAATCGCGTTTTTGTTCTTAATGAAATAAATGAAATAATAAAAAAAGTCAGTCTGATTTTCAAAAAAAAAGTTATATTTATTCTGGAATTTTCGAAAAAAACTTATTTTCGCGCGACTTGCATAAATTTAACTACGTTTGCAAATAATGGATGGTTCTCGGGTAACTGACACTACGAAGAGATCTAATCCACAATCAAATCCCGAATATGAGCCTAAGCCACCACCACATAGCGAACCTCCGCAGAATCCACAACCTTCTCAGCATACCCAGCATCATCACCAGCACCAACATCGACATCGACATCGATCTCAACACCAAAATTCTAACATTGATAGGTCATACACACCAAAACTTAAGTTTACAAATTTTTCTGCCCAGGCTCCAATAGTGACAAAATATGTAACATCTAAATTTTTGAGACACGATGTTTCTTACTTCAAAAGAGAACAATCAAAAGAAATAAGAAAGGAGGAAATTAAAGAAAAAGAAAGTGACGAGGAGGAAATGGAAGAAGAAGAGGAGGAAGAAGAAGAAGAGGAAGAAGAAGCGACTACCGAAGAAGAACATGAGGTATTCTTTGTCGATTAAAAGAAAAAAAAATATGTACTTTTTAAATTATTATAAAATTGTGTAATCTTTTAAATTATTTCTAATATGTTTAGTTAGAGCAAGAAGGATCAAAAGTTATTGTTATACATCCTGGATCAAAATATCTTAAGATCGGGCGTGCTTCCGAAGCTTTTCCTTACATAGTTCCGAATGTTATTGCACGACAAGTGACAAATTGGAAGCAAGACGACACGGAAAAAATGAATATTGATGACATTCAAAATGAAAATGTTAAAAATGAGAATGTAAAGGATAAAAATAATAGTGAGAAGGAAGACAAGGATTTGATGAACGAGAATAATGATTCAACTCCTGAGAATTGGTCAGGTTCGGTCGGTTCATCAGATGCGATTGAAGAAGCAGAGGAAGAAGAAGAAGATGAGGTTCATAAATATTTTCTTGTATTAGTAAATTTGATTTGCTTAATATCATTATTATTCCAATTATTTTTTTTATATATTTTTATAATTTTTTTTCCAGGAACAATTTAAACAATTAGTAAACGAAATAAAGAAAGAATTAAAAGATAGAATGAAAATCGCAAAGCGTCGGCCTGTAGCAAATGCACAAACACAAGTTTTATCTTTTAATAAATCATCTCAACCAGAAATAATTGCCGATCATAATGATCCATATAAAGTTGATTGGACAAATGTTGAAGAAGGTATTGAATGTTATGTTGGAGAAAAGGTAGGATTCAGGTATGGGAGTGTTGTGATATATTTACCTTTATATTATTCATTTCCTCCATTTTTTTTAACGTTATTTGGTGATAATTTCCATCTTTTCATCCTTTTAGGCACTTCGTCTTGCCAATTCAGAAAATGACTATAAATTATTCTATCCTATACAACATGGGGAATTTAATTCTAGAGATTATAATTCAATAAAAGCAGTGGTTGGAGATTTTGAGACTATTTTGACAGAAACCATTCAAGAAAAATTGGATATTTCTCCAAAAAATTTCAAGGTATCTTTATATATAATTATGTAAATGTTGAAAGTAAAAAATAAATATATATATATACAATTTCCTAACTTTCCTTCTTTTTTATTATAATGAAATTTAATATTATAATTAGACACATTCTGTTATACTTATTATTCCTGATGTATATAATCGTTTATACGTGTCTGAGATGGTAACGATGTTGCTTCGATATATGGAATTTCGTCGTGTATTTGTAGCGCAAGAATCTGTTTGTGTTAGTTTTGGCGCTGGAATTTCTGTTGCATGTGTCGTGGATATTGGGGCACAAACAACCTCCGTTACTTGTGTGGAAGATGGAATGTGCATTCCAGATTCCAGGTGAAAAGTTATGTTTAAATAATTATTAAGTAATGTTCAAAGGTAAAGATATAATGTTTATCGAAATGTTGTGTATATAGAATATGTCTTCATTATGGTGGGGACGATATTACAACATTTTTCATAAGATTATTACGAAAGAGCAAATTTCCTTATTCCGAAATTGATTTAAACCGGATGTACGACTGGTTGCTTGCGGAAGAAATGAAAGAGAAATTTTGTACACTGGATGAGGTATTAATATAATATTTTCGATATCACATGATTTTTGAAAATATATCTTAATTATCATTATTATTATCATTATTATCATTGATTTTATTATTATTATTATTATTATTATTATTATTATTAATTTATAAGGCAAATCTTTCAATACAATTAAATGAATTTTATGTGAGAGCACCCAATAATCCAACAATAAAGTATCAAATTAAAACATATGATGATGCCATTATGGCTCCCATGGTAAAGATTGATGAATTATTAATCATTTGTTTATTTGTTATTTCACTAATTATATTTTATATTTATATATATATATATTTTTTTATTATTATCAAAGTGTATTTTTTATCCTCATGTAATCAATTTCCAAAAAAAATTAGCGGAATTTCCTCCAAAATTTGTATCTCAAGCAATAGATGATATAACTGAAGGTGTTATTGCAGCCACTGTGGTATGAATAATAACGAAAGCGTAAAAATTTATTTAAATATATTTAAATATATTTTAAAATTACGAATAATAATTTATCTTTTAAAGCCTCCACCAGGTCCTGTGGCGCAAAAGCCAAAATCATCTGCTTCAACTCAAATTAAATCATCTTTTCCATCACCTTCACCTCAACCTCGGGATAGTCCGGGTCCAGCTACACCTCTTAGACTTGACAATGTAACTACATCCACAAACGGTCCTTCTACTCCATCTGCTACAACATCATCGACACGTAATCACAATGGATTTCATTTAGAACCTACAACAACACTTCCGCTTGATGATGCTATAATTCAAAGTATTAATGCAGCAACTGGTGAAGATAGAGTAAAAAAATTTTATTCCAGTTTATTATTGGTTGGCGGTGGTGGACTTATCCCAGGAATCCATAAAATGTTGGAAGAGCGGTATATATATTCTCTTTCTATTGAAATATTTCACTTTTGCATTTAGGTTAATCACAATTTTATTACTAAATTTATTTCTCATAAAATAATTTAATGTACTTAAAGTTTATCTGTACGACAAGCTTCTGATAAATTTGAAGTGCTCGGTTCACCAAGAGATATGGACCCAAGATTGTTGGCATGGAAAGGTGGATCAGTAATGAGTAAATTAGAAATAGTTAGTGAATTATGGATAAATTCTGGTGAATGGGAGGAATTGGGAGTAAGATGTTTAAGAGAAAAAGCTTTGTTTGTATGGTGATTTTCCGTTGGAAAGTCTCAAATAAGTTCTAGGAGATCGTGAGAGTGTTTTATGAGTATACATATTAAAAAAAAAAGATTTTTGAATAATTTTTGTATTACATTTAATTCTAGCATAAAAAAAAAAAAAGTACCAAAAAAATAATAAATTTTATGCAACCATAATATACAGGAAATAATTATTTTTTGGATCATTCAAAATGATTCGAGATTATATTATACATTATAAATAAATATTTCATTCCTACTACATAATAATTAATCTACTCTCACAAATAAAATAAAAAATTGAAAAAATAATGTTTATCATTTCCGTTTGTGTTTCTTCATGTTTTTCTTTGCAGTTTGAAATTTTGTTTTCCTTTTTTTGTTCTGTGATGAATTACTTATTAGACCATTAAATAATTCCTTATTATTTCTACTTCTCAGGTTTTCATTACCCAATTTTGATGCAGACTAATTAAAATTAAATAATGAATTAGTCAATGCCTAAATTGATTTTTTTTTTTTTTGAAAATACAATAATTATAGATTTATACCGCTCTTTTGTCGTCATCATCTGAATTTCGACGATAATTTTCTTTTCGAGCATTTCTTCTGGCAAGAACATTACTTGATTCTTCTTCCTCGACATCATTTTGTATAGTCGCCAAGCTATTAAAATCGTTTAGATTCTAAAACAAATATATATATATACATATAAATGGATAAATAGGAAAATAAAATAAAAAAATGAATTAATAAAAGAAAAAATACCTTAAATTCATCATTAAATTTCGTTGATCTACTAATTTTTCTAAGTTCTTTTTTTGACATTGGCAATCTAATAAAATTCTCCTCTTCAAATTGATTACGTTTAGCAAAATTCTTTTCCAATTTTTCATCAATTATGGTGGCTTCATTTGCACCAATGATATCTACTTCTTCTGGTCTATCATCATATTCAATCATAAGATCTTTCATTATACGAGATTTTGAAGCTCTTGCCAAATTACGAGATTTTTCTTTTTCTTCTTTAGAACGAGAACCTCCTGAATAAGTTGGTGAGAAATAAAAATGACACTCAATTATATATAAATATATATATATATATAAAATATGTGTATGTATATGTATATGTATTAAATAATTTTACCCTCATCAAAATGTACAGGTGCCAATTTTGGTGCCTTATATATTCCAGGTTTTTTGACATCATTTTCTGTATTGTTTAAATAAGAGAATTAATAATTTTGCAAAAATATATAATATACATAAATATTAAGGTAGTAATACCTTTTACATTATTTTCATAAAAATCTGACACCAAATTTTGCGGATTAGGTTTAAATGATAGAGGATCAGTCACTAAAGAAATTAAAATTAAAAATCAATTAAAATTAAAAATCAATATTAATAAAATTTATAAATTAAAAATAAAATAAAATTTAATTCAAGTTTAATTCAACTCACTAGAATTTGTTGTCATATTATCATTAAATTTATTCTCTTCATTATGATTTTCCATAGTAGCAGCTCTAATTAATTTATCCGTTTGATATTTTAATTTTTGTTCAACTGGTTTAATCTTTTCTAAAACAATTCTCAATTCTACTAAATTTGTTATTACGGGATGTCCAATTATTGATTTTCCACTTAATTTCAAGTGAATTACAAAACATAAATTTGTAATATATTGAAGAAGTGTTTGATATTTGATATCAAGTAATGATACACCATCATTGATCTTCAACTGGTGATCACTAGCTCTTATAAGTTAAAAAAGAAATATATATATAAAATAAGATAATGATTTAATTCAGATCAAGATTGAATTTTAAATTTAATTATTATTTACTTTTTCACGGTATCACTGATTTGTTCTTTTATTTCTTTAATTTTATTTTTTAAATCTTTGATAAGTTTAACAATTTCAGGAATTTCTTTGGAAACATTGATATCGGTATTATTATTATTTATGTTATCATCATTCGGTTGAAGCGATTGTATGTCAAAGTAATTGATATTGTCTTGTATTCGTTTATTAGAAGCATTTGATACTTCTATTTCAAGACTGGTCATTTTTTTTTTAATTTGGGAATAGTTAATTCGGTTTTTATAGGTTAAAATTTGTGATGTTTATGAGGGGATCATCACATAAAAAATTAATTTTTATTGGTTGAAGATCATT